GGGTGCTCTATGGTTAAGCTACATTCCAATTCTACCTATTTTTGTTTGTTTGTTTTTTCCTTGAGCCAGCTTTGCTGAATTGCCAGGACTGGCTTTGAACTTATGGTCCTCCTCCATCAGCCTCCAAGAAGTTGGAGTTACAGGCATGCTCCACCATGCCAGGCTACTGGCTTTACAGTATATATGGAATTAGATAATTTAAATATAAGGAGTTCTTACTTGGAATGTCAAATAATGGCAATAATATCAAACACAGATTATTTACTCTGGCCTCATTTAATCCTCAAAGGAAGAGACCTAAATCATGGTACAGTACTGGTATTTATTGTTATGTTTTACAGTGCTGGCAATTGAACTCAGGCCCTCGCATGTGTAGTGCTGTTAATTTTTTTTTTTTTTTTTTTTTGTCTTTTTGTGGAGACAAGGTCTCACTGTACAGTTCAGGCTGGCCTTGAACTCACTTTGTAGCCCAGGCTGGCCTCGAACTCATAACGATCCTCCTGACATAGCCTCCCAAGTGCTGGGATTACAGGCATGCGCCACCATGGCTGGCAGTGCTGTTAATTTTTGTTTGTTTGTTTCTTTTCCTTTTCTTTCTTTCTTTTTTTTTGAGACAGGGTCTCGCTATGCAGTTCAGGCTGGCCTTGAGCTCACTTTGTAGCCCAGGCTGGTCTGGAACTTGCAACGATCTTCCTGCCTTAGCCTCCCGAGTGCTAGGATTACAGGTGTGCGCCACCAAGCCTGGCTGCTTTGTATTTTTCCCTTGTATCTACATATCCAAATCCGCTCTCTTTGAAAATGAAAAATTCTTCATACTGATCCAAATAAATTATATTGTGGTCCTTACCATGTAGATTATTAGCTATGTTCAGTATGTGATTTTGCTGATGGAAGATCATGTTAACAATTCTTTAACTTGTAAGCAGCAAAAATATGTATGTGTTATTAGTAGTATATTAATTACACACATCATTAGGTTTCCAAAGTAGGAAATATGGAAAAAACAAGCAAGACACTCTTAAAGAAAATAGGTGAGGCAGAAGGAGTGCTGCGAGTTCGAGGCCAGCCTGAACTGCATAGCAAAACCCTGTCGCAAAAAAAAAAAAATTGGAGGAACAGGAATTCTCAGACTTTAGTAAAAGGATGTGGATTGGTGTTACTACTTGGGAAACCAGCTTGGCAGTATCCAGAAAAGTTATAAATAGGAATACTTTAAAATATAGGAGCTCTACTCCCAAGTATATGTACTAGGGTAACTCTTCTACATGTTTAAGAAAATTCATAACAGTATGCATAGTTTACAGTAGCCAAAAAACACCATGTGTAGTGGTAGACACCTGCAATCAGCATTTAGGAGGCTGAGGCAGGAGGACCATAGGAAGTTTGAAGTCAGCCTGGGTTACATAGTGAAACCCTGTCTCAAAACATTAAAAAAAAAAAAAAAAAAAAAAAAAAAAAAGGTGTGGTGGCACACGCCTGTAATCCCAGCACTCAGGAGGCTGAGGCAGGAGGATTGGTGCAAGCTCAAGACCATCTTGGGCTACAAGTGAGCTCAAGGCCAGCCTGAACTGCATAGCAAGACCCTGTCTCAAAAAGACAAAAAATAAAAAAATTTTAAAAAGTAAAAAATGCTGAAAAAAACAGAAACAAAAAAATGTATTTACCATATGATGCTATTTCTACAGAATTCAAAAGCAGAGGGGATGTTAAGGGAATAGGAAAAAAATCAAGTTTTATCATGTACAGATACAAATTCCCTATAATAAATGTGGTCATTATTTGTACCTAAAATGTATCAGTAATACTCTGGTTTCTCTTCACATCATATAAATCTTTTGCCTTTTAAAAAAATGTACCAATAAACTTAATTAATTAAAAAAAGACTTCAAAGCAAGCAAAATAAACTGTGGCATTTAGGGATGTACATAGGCTGTGAAGGCTGGAACTATTTATTTTAACGATCAAGTGAGGAGTTATTTAGTGAGGAAAGGGATTACGATAGAGGGTGCAGGCAAGGTAGAACTTCTGAGGCTGCTTCTCATATCTAGTTCTTGATGTTTTTATGACTCTTTGCTTTATGATTTGCTAATGTAGTTATGTTTTACATGTTTTCTACATGTGGCGTTTTGTTTTGTTTTGGTTTTTGGTTTTTATGAGACAGAATCTCACTATGTAGTTCAGGCTGACCTTGAACTTACCATATAGCCCAGGTTGGCCTTAAACTCACATCAATCCTCCTGCCTCAGCCTCCCAAGTGCTGGGATCACAGGTGTGCACCACCACGCCTGGCTGTGTTACATTTTTAGTAGGAAAAAAAAGGTTGAAAAGAAAAACCAAAGCCAGGTATGGTGGCCCACTCTTAAGAAAAATCAGCTGGGCATGGTGGCACATGCCTGTAATCCCAGCATTCAGGAGGCTGAAGCAGGAGGATTGCTGCAAGTTCAAGGCCAGCCTGGGCTACAAAGTGAATTTGAGGCCAGGCTGAAGTGCATAGTGAAAGCTTGTCTCAAAGAGACTAAAAAAAGAAGGGAAAAAAAAGAAAAATCAAAGGTTCTATAACCAAATGCACCTAGGTTGTTTACATTCTCTGGTAGAAATTTGGTCTTCAAATAGCCAGGTATGTTGCTGCAGACAGGTATTCCCAGTACTCTCGGAGGCTGAGGTAGGAGGATCACAAGTTTGAGTTCTGCCTGGGCAATTTAGCAATTTTGTGAGATTCTGTCTCAAAATAAAAAACAAAAAATAATGGATGGGGAGGTAGCTCAGTGTGAAGGCCCTAGGTTCAATCCGTACTACCACAAAGCAAGCAAACAAACAAACAAACATTCAAACACTGGGAGCATATAATAAGGAATAGTTTAATGAGGTCATAGCATTTACAGGGTACATTTATAGGGTAAATGGTTACATTATAAAATCTGTCTTAAAAATTAGTAAAAGGGCACATTTTAATACTGATACAATGGCAGTAGCAGCTTTGCAAATACTTATAATATATGATTTCTATAGCACTTTTCTTATGATGTTTTATCCCACAAGAATGGTCAAAGTTGCCAGGTGTGGTGGCCAGTGCCTGTAATCCCAGCACTTGGGAGGCTGAGGCAGGAGGATGATGTCAAGTACAAGCGGGCTACAAAATGAGTTCAAGGCCAACCTGAAGTACACAGCGAGACCTCAAAAAACAAAAGAAAACAAAACAAAATAATGGTCAAATCATTTACATTACACTGGTACAGTATATAATGGCTTGTTAATATTATAAATAAAAGTGCCCCATAAAATATAATGTTACAAACAGCTGCTGTATCTCAGTAATTACTCCTTTCATTCTTACATAATATAAAAGCAGATATCAGGTTTTTAAGAAAAGCAACTTCTACCACAAGCGGATATGTCTCTTACTTTACTATTTCATTTTTATCAATAATTTTTTTTTTTTTTTTGTCTTTTTTTGGTTTTTCTCCAGTACCGGGAACCGAACTCACGACCTTGCACTTGCCAGGCAGGTGCTTTGCCGCTGAGCTAAATCCCCAGCCCCATAATTGTGTTGTAAACACATGCATGGGTCTCATAAACAGGACTGCCTCTTGTATGCTAAATATTGCCCCTTGGTTTGCTTTCCATCCTTGTCACTTTCCAACATCACTCTCTTTGGCACCTTAAAGCAATACTTTTCTGTGGAAATATAGGGATTTGGGGGAAGTTGCTGAATTGCCTTTTCAGCTTAAACCAGTGGTGGCGAACCTGTGGCAGGTGTGCCGCAGTGGGCTGTTTGTATCATTGGAAACTCTAAAACGTTCACCACCGCTGGTAAGTTAACTGAAGGATATTTCAAGGATATCATCTGTGTTCTGGCTTCTTGTCAAAAGTTCAGTGCAGATCAGAAATCCTTATTTCCTACGAGCAAAGGAGCTGCTATCTTTATTCTTGGGACTCAGAGGAGGGTATCAGCATCAGAGCTGATCCTGGGGCTAGGGAAGTAGCCTAGTGGTAGAGCACTTGCCCACCATGCGCAAGGTCCTGGGTTTGATCCCCAGAACTACAAAACAACAACAGTAAGAAATCTAATTGTGTCCTTTCAGTCACACCCCTTATAACGGAAAGTAAATTGCCCTTCTTCTATAATACTTCCCACACATATGAGGCAGGTCCTGGCTGGAGCTGCAGTAGTGTTTACTACCAAGTAGACACTCTGGAAGACAGGGAGCAGAAATACTTAGCAACTCTGCGAGAAAATGACTAAGAAGGGGGCTGGGGATTTAGCTCACCGGCAAAGCACCTGCCTGGCAAGCGCAAGGTCGTGAGTTCGGTTCCCGGTACCAGAGAAAAACCAAAACAAACAAACAAAAAAAAAAACACAAAAAAAAACGAAAATGACTAAGAAGGTTGCTAAGCAAAACATAAAACAGTTAAATGTAAATTTTAGAGCTGGGTGTGGCAGCTCATGCCTGTAATCCCAGCACTGGGGTGGCTGAGGCAGAAGGATCATTGTGAGTTTGAGACCAGCCTGGGCTACAAAGTGAGCTCAAGGCCAGTCTGAATTGCATAGCGAGACCCTGTCTCAAAAAGACAAAAAAAAAAAAGAAGGGTTGGGATACAGCTCAACGGTAGAGCACATGTAGCATGTGAAGCTTTGGGTTTCATCTCTAGCACTACCATCAGCAAAAGAAGTAAGGAATATCTCAGACTACACTGAGTCAGACAGAACCACCTACAGAAGGTGCTAGAAATGATACACTATAATTTTTAAGGTCATACTGGGACTTTTGCTTCAAATCCTTTTGGAAAATAGTTCTATTTGGATGAGGAGTGGGCTACTTTATTTCTATGGAAATAAAACCTAGAGAGTTTTTTTGTAGATCTTATTGGTAGCAACCAATGTATGAGCTTTATGAGACAAAAGCCTTTTCAGGCTGGACATGGTGTTGTACACCTATAATCCCAGAACTCAGGAGGCTGAGGCAAGAGGATTTCTGTGAGTTCGAGGCCAGCTTGGGCTACATAGTAAGTTCAAGGCCAACCTAAACTACAGAGGGAGACCCTATCTTAACCCCCCCAAAAAAATCTTTTTAGTTGCCTGAAATAAATAGGATGAATAGGAATTACACTATTGTCTTTTTTCTTTTTTTGAGAAGGGATTTCAGTATGTTGCCCATTTGTCAATTTTGTGAATTTGTCAGCTCACATGATCTTCCTGCCTCAGCCTCCCAAGTAGCTGGGACTACAGTCATGTGCCACCATGCCTGACTATATCAGATTTACTTTGAGATACAGTGTCACTAAGTTATCCAGCCTGGCCTTGAATTTGTGTTCCTTCTGCCTTAGCTTCCTGAGCAGTTGGAATTACAGGCATGCTTCACCACACCCAGCTTCAGACTTTATTCTTAAAGTCCTAATTGCACCTATCAATACAAATTGGAGTTAACTAAATTTCAACAGCCTCTGGGTGCAACCTAAGTTGGGTAATTCCAGGATAAACACCATTTTGCAGACTGTATTTTGCCGTCTGGTTCTTTAACCATCATGCAAATTAGAAAACACCCGATATGCACAGGTTCCACACATACTCTGGTCTTCAAATGAAATTATATTAGCATAGTTAAGCAGATTCTATATTAAGAAAAGATTTGGGTGATTTCATCTGTACATTTGATGGATCATCACATGGAGTCAGGCAGAGTTGGCATCAGTTTTGTTCATCGAAGCTGCTTGTAGAAAGTGGCAGAGTTTGAGTTGGGCTTCTAGGGTGAGCCAGCTATGGAGGGAAAGAAAAAAATTACATTCTTGTGGCCAACACAACTCTCATTCCTCATTAACACAAGCCGGTTTGTTGTTGTTGTTGCTGCAGGACAGCATGGCATATGGAGTCTAAAAATCACTTTTCCCAGCTTTCCCAATGTAATCAGAAGTTCCTGGATAGAGCCTCACCAAAGAGAGGAGGAGTGAGGCATGGTGGCGCATGTCTGTATTTCCAGCATTCAGGAGGCCGAGGCAGGAGGAATGCCAGAGTACAAGGTCAGTGTGGGCTACATAGTGAATTCAAGGCCAGCCTGGAATACATAGTAAGACCTTGTCTCTTTGTCTCAAAACAACACCAAAAAAGAAAAAAAGAGCTAGAATGAAAGGGAAGGGGAAGGGAGGGAAGGGGAAGGGAGGGGAAGGGAGGGGAGGGAAAAGGAGGGGAGGGAAAGGAAAGGAAAGGAAGGGAAGGGAAGGGAAGGGAAAGGGAAGGGAAAGGGAAAGGGAAAGGCAAAGGGAAAGGGAAAGGGAAAGGGAAAGGGAAAGGGAAAGGGAAAGGGAAGGAAAGTCCTAGCTATTTGGGAGACTGAGGCAGGAGGATTGCTAGTTTGAGCCCAACCTGAGCAACTTAGCAAGACCTTGTTTTAAAATAAAAGATAAAAAGGCTGGGGATTTAGCTCAGTGCAAATACCCTGGCTTCAAACCTGAGTACCACTCCCTCCCACACAAAGGGACTGGGGAGCTGGGACACAGCTCAGTGGTGAAGCACTTGCCTAGAATGAATCAGCACGGCATACACAAAGAGAGAGAGCTTGAAGCATAGCTCGGTGCAAAGAGTGTTTCCTTGTTACGCACAAAGCCCTGGGTTCAAATAGCACAGAGAGAGACAGAGAGAGACAGAGAGAGAGAGATCAATCTATTTGATCAAGGCACTGCGGCCATAGCCAAATGCAAGCAGTTGCTGCAGAATTAAAGGGAAAGGACGCCTAAGGCTGTATGGAAAGTGTAGTTGCTACCCAGCGCAGTGTGTGGTACTTTGATCTGTTTCCATATTTCAAACAGATTGTGCTAACTGTGGGGTGGGACAGAGACAACAAGGGTCCTAGCGCTAAAGAGAGAAAGCAAGGGGCTAAGTCCTCCAGGGAGGCCTTTTCCCTGTGCTCCCACCGTTCACGACTTTTGCTCTCACCACGGCATGTTGTGATGGGGGGTAGAATCTAACTGGATGCTCCAAGAGAAGGAAGGAACCTGGTCACACTTCCAAGAGCTACATCACTACCCCTTGAAAAAAAAATTTTTTTTTTTGGCTACTGGGAATTGAACTCAGGACCTCACACTTGCAAGATAGGCACTTGTGCTGCTGAGCTACATCCCCAGCCCCCCTTGAAAATTTTTTAATTTTTTTTTTGACACAAGGTTTCACTAAGTCACTAAATTAACCAGGCCAAGCCTGAACTTGCGATCCTCCTGCCTCAGCCTCCTTGAGTTCTGGGGTTATAGACATGCACCATTACACCTGGCAGACACTGATGCTTAAGTGAGGAACAAAGGGAAGGGTGAGAGGGTGCGAGGGCGTGGGCAGTGCAGTCTGTGGTGTGTCTCTGGTCCAGGAATGGAAGGAACGGTCAAAGAGTCAAAGAGCCCAGCAACCCTGGATCCCAGGGCTCTAGCAAGGGAAGCAGAAGAGCCTGCTCTTCACAGATCTGATGACAGCAAGGATCAGAAAAATGAATAGGACAAAAAGGTTCGGCTCAGGATCCTTCCCTACGTTACAGCCACATAGTCCCTTACTGGTTGGCTCTTGTAATGGGCTCCAATCCCTACACTGTTCACTGTACTCAGAACTTTCTCCCACTGGCATTGATGGTGGCCGCCCCCTCCAGTTAATGCCTAACCGTCTTTCAACTCTCACTTGAAGGATCATCACTCCATGAGGAAGTCCTTCCTAATCATCCTCTATGGGCTCCCACAGAACCTTGGTCGCTTTCGTCATAGTGCTTAGTACAATGCAAAATGAAACAAAGATGGGATTATTTCATTGTCTACCTTCCCTACTAGGCTGGAAGCTCCAGGACAGCAGATTTGCGCCAGCTTTTGCGAACCACTACAACCCCAGCACTCCAGCACAGTGACTGGCTTAAAGGAAGTGCTTACTAAATACTTATGAAAGGAACTTAATGCCAGACATGGTGGCATACACTTATAATCCTATCACTTGGGAGGCTGAGGCAAGAGAATTCCCACGAGTTTGAGGCCAACCTGGGCGACATAGTGAGTTCAAGGTCAACCTGAGCTACACAGCGAGACACTGTCTCAAAAACAAACAAACAAACAAAAGAGAATTCATATAATCAGGCAATCATTGGCAAAATGGAGATGATAATCCTAACTATATCATATAGAATGCTTGTCTCTTTTTTTCTCATGGAATTTTATGAAGTCTAGCCCAGGTACTGTGGTATACACCTATAATCTCAGCACTCTGGGAGGCTGAGGCAGGAGGGTTACAAGTTTGAGGCCTATGGGCCACAGAACAAGTTCAAGCTTGGCTTAGATTACATGGGAAACCCTATCTTAAAAATCGAAAAGGAGGGCCAGGCATGGTGGAGCTTGCCTGTAATCCCAGCACTTGGGAGGCTGAGGCAGGAGGGTCGTTGTGAGTTCCAGCCCACCTGGGCTACAAAGTGAGCTCAAGGTCAGCCTGAACTGCACAGTGAGACTCTGTCTCAAAAAGACAAAAAAAAAAAAAAAAAAATTGAAAAGGGGTGGGGGGAGATTGAATTTTACAAAGTCTAGTTATTAAAGTTCTCTGCAAAACATAAGGTACCATAAAATTATCATCATTGAGAAAGCTACTTTAGACTATGATTCTAAAATTTTCTTTTTTCTTTTTTGTGGTACCAGGAATCACACTCAGGATCTTGTGCTTGCCAGGCAGGTGCTGTGCTGCTGAGCTATCTTCCTGGCCCCTAGAATATGATTCTAAATAAAATGTTTTATCTAGTTAGCAGCGCTAGGAATTGAACTCAAGGTCTCACACCTGCTAAACATGTACTTTTCCATTGAGCTATACTTTTAGTCCCTGTATAAGTTATTTTCAAGAAAAGTAAATTTTTATTTTTCTTAAAGGCTTACCTGAAATTTTTTCTTCAAGGCTCGGGTCATTACAGGGGTAAGTCCAGTTCCTGTTTCCATATTTTCTTTATTGATCAGAGGAGTTCCCCCTGGGCTCCTAGAAAGACATTAAAAATACTAGGAACGTATTTTTTTGCCTACTTTTCAAATGGCTTTGGAAAACATAAAGATAAGAGCCCACATTACCTCTCCACGTCAACTTTTCTAAGAAGCTTCCGCAGATCTACCTGGCTTTTACTTGGAGTACTGATAAAATAAAGACATACAATTAGAACTTGCCACATTTCATTACTTCTCCCAAAACAAAGTAGTCATTATAATAGGCAACTTACTAGAATATAAAAAGTTCCCTGCAAAGCGTAAGGCACCATAAAATTATCATCATTATCATCAAGCAAGCTACTTTAGACTATGATTCTTTTTTTTTTTTTCTTTTTTTTGGGGGTGGGGTGGTTTTCCAGTACCAGGAAACGAACTCATGACCTTGTGCTTGCCAGGCAGGCACTGTGCCGCTGAGCTAAATCCCCAGCCCCTAGACTATGATTCTTAATAAAATGTTTTATCTAGTTAGCAGTGCTAGGAATTGAACTCAGGGTCTCACACATGCTAAGCATGTACTTTTCCACTAAGAATATAAAAGTTGCTTTTTTTGTGTGGTCTTTCTTTGAGACAGGGTCTTACTATACAGCCCAGGCTCGCCTCGAACTCACAGTGATCCTCCTGCCTCAGCCTCCCAAGTGCTGGGATTACAGGCATGTGCTACCATGCCTGCTATAGTTCTGCTTTTTATTAAAAAAATAACATGGAAAAAATTAAAATAAAACATAAAAAATAGTATGGGTTGGGGAGGAAGCTCAGGTGTAGAGCACTTGCCTAGCATGCATGAGGCCCTGAGTTCCATCCCCAGTACCACACACACATGTAGTAGATGCTGACAGGAGAATAAGGTGATACTGTATTATGGTTTAAGTGGACAGACTGGTGCGATGGTGCACACCTATAATTCCAGTCTCTGGGAGGCTGAGGCAGGAGGGTTACAAATTGAACCCAGCCTGGACAACATTGCAATTTAGTAAGACTGTGCCAAATAAACAAAAAAATTTAAAAGGCTGGGAATATAGCTCAGTGCAAAGGCCCTGGCTCTGATGCTCAGTACTGCCAAAAAAAAAAAAAAAAGTTCCCTGAAGACTCATAGATGGAAAGTTTGATCCCACATGCAGCAGTGTTCAGAGGTGGGGTCTTGAGAGGTGACAGGATGGTGAAAGTGTTGACCCCATCAACGCACTTGCCTGCTCATGAGCTCCTAACTGCATGGGTTTTTAGGAGGTGGGGCCTAGCAGAAGGAAGTAGGTACCAGTGGACAGATCTTTGAAAGGTGTAACTTTTCCCTGGCCCCTTCATGTCTGTGTCTGTCTGTGTCTCTCTCCTTCCTGGCTGCCCTGAGGTGAGCACTATTTCTCTGTTACTCCCTTCCACCACGATGTTTGAGTTCCCTACAGGCCTAAAAGCAACACAGCCAGCTGAGCATAGACTGAGCTTGTAAAATCATAAGACAAAATAGACCTTTTCTCCTTTAAATTGACTTTCTCAGGCATATTGTTACAGTGACAGAAAGCTGACTAACACTGACCCTACAGGCATTCTAATAATTAATGTTTTCTTTTTTTCTTGACAGTGCTGGGATTCAAAACTTGCTTAGCCTCGTGCATGCTAAGCAAGTGCTCTTCCACTGAGCTCTATCCCCAGGCCAAAGTAATACTGCTTTTTGCTTTGTTTTGTTTATTGAGAAAAGGGTCTCACTAAGTTGTCCAGGCTGGCCTTAGCCTCCTGAGTAGCTGATATTACAGGTGAGTGCCATCCTACCCAGCCAAGTAATACTTCTCCCCCCATAATCACATCTATGTGATTGCATCTCTGTATGCAGATGATAGACAAGGTACTTAGTAAAGTGTCACAGAAATAAGAAATCATAAACCACCTAAAACAGGATTGTATCTATGAAATTTACATACAGTGAGTTACCTGTATTAAAGAAGTCAAAATGATGCTTCAGGTTAATTGTCATGACATATTAAACAGGGAAAGTTGTCACTGTATCCACAGTAGGATTATACAGAGGCATACTCCCCCCATAGTTACTTAATTCAAGAGTTAACTAGTTTTGATATTTTATTATTTCTGAAATGAAGCTAAAAATTCTTGACAGTTTTTTGGTTGTTTTTTTGTTTTGTTTTGAGACAGTCTCTCACTATGTAGTCCAGGCTGGTCTTTAACTCACTATGTATCTCTTCTTGGCCTTTTGGCTAAGATCAAGTGAACTCACTATGTAGCCCAGGCTGGCCTCAAACTCATGGCAATCCTCCTGCCTCACCCTTTTGAGTGCTAGGATTACAGGTGTGCCCCACAATGCCTGGCTTTTGACAGTATTTCTTTTTCCTCACAAAACATATTTATTTGTTTGTTTGCTTATTTTTTTTCAGTGCTGAGGATCAAGCCCAAGGGCTCACAACTGCTAAGTAAGTGTTCTACCACTGAGTTACTTCCCCCGGCTGCGAAGTGTTATTAAATCAATAGCATAGCATATGACAGACAGCAGTTTGAAATAGAAGCTATAGTATATTATATGTCCAAAACAAACATTAGAATGATAAAAAGCAGTATGTTAACAGTGGTTATATTCAATGATAGGATTCTGAATAATAGAAGTTGAAAGAGTTGCCCAAACTTAAATTTTGCCTAAATTATCTAGATAATTTTTAGCTGGGTGTGGTGGCTGGCTCATCCCCAGCACTTGGGAGGCTGAGGCATGAGGATCACCATGCATTTGAGGCCAGTGGGCCACACAGTGAGTTGAAGTACAGCCTGAACTGGACCCCATCTCAAAAACAAAAACAAGGGGCTGGGGATTTAGCTCAGCAGCAAAGTGCCTGCCTGGCAAGCGCAAGGTCATGAGTTCAATTCCTGGTACCAGAAGAAAAACAAACAAACAATCAAAAACAAAAACAAAAAAACAACAATGAGAAAACCTTTTCTGTACATTTCACTTTTTCTGCAATAAGCATATATGACTTTTAAATAGAAATAAGCAAAAACAAAATCATTCTTTTAAGTAGCAGTAATAACACTGTGTAGTTTCTTACATTAAGACATTTGTAACTCGTGTTGATAACACTTTGGAGTTAGGTTTCAGGGTAACACGCTGCAGGTCAGAGACAGTAACTAGTGGATTCCGTGCTTTCGGTGATGGTATAAGCTTTAATCACAAAGTGAGACAGTATTAAAAAACACACTTTAAAATATCATTCAAAATTTAAATAAGCTCAAACAGTAAATATCCATAAAATTTCAATGTCTCTACCTCTTCAGACTAATGGTTGGTAGATAAAATAGCCTATTTAAATAATTTTTGAGAGATGAATGAATAAGAAAAATGTGTTATTTATACATAATGGAGTACTATGCTACCATAAAGAGAGATAAATTTGAGGCATTTGGGTAAATGGATGCAACTTGAGAACATAATGTTAAGTGAATTAAGGCAGAGACATAAGCTTAAATATCCCATGGTTTCTCTTATATATGAAATATATATACAAATAAAGAGCAAGATAGAAGAGAAATAAATAGGAAGTAGGGAGACCTTCAAACACTTCCCCACATTATTCCATCATTTAAAAAATATTTTTATATATATGCTAATTTGTTTCATTTATGCTACTAGTTTACTTAGTTCTTTGAAAAGAGCTTTTTTCTTATTTTCTATTTGTTCTCCTTTGTAAGAATCTTTTGAGCCTATGTCTATATTGTGAGTAACTACTTTGAAGACAATGATACATAGTGTATTACACTATTATTATTCTCTTGTTATTGTCTTAGGAAATTTTACTATCTCATAAAATAAAAAAAGAAAGAATGAATGGATTTTGGGATCTACACATTTGGTTGAAGAGATCCAAAACTACTAAAATGAAACATCAAATATTGAATGTGGGTTGACTTCCATACAGAGATTACACATTATTTTCCACAAAGGAATAGCCAGGTTAAAAGCAAGAAGACCATGAAGGTGGTCAATGATGTTTTACCTTCCTATTTTCATCAGTATACTGTGTCTTCCTTAATTTCACAGTCAGTAGATCTTTAACTGTTATCTGCATGGGTCCATCCTTTCTTAATGCTTCAGCCTTAAAATACATAGAGAAGTTAGAATTTTTTTTTTTTTTTTTGAAACAGAGTCTCACTATATAGTTCAGGCTCAATATGTAGACCCAGCTGGACTCAGACTAATAGCAATCCTCCTGCCTCAGCCTCCTGAGTACTAGGATTACAGGCATGCTGGGATAACAGATGTGTGCCACTACTCCCGGCCCAGAAATTAGAATTTAAATTGGAACCAGGATATCTGATGAAGTGCAAATCCAAATCTAACTTTTAAAGATTCAGAATTAAAAGTTAATTCTTATTTACCCCTAGAGCTGACCAAATCCACTCAAGCAAGAATGATCTTGTTTTCAGTACTCAATGATTCTGAAACTTATTAATCAAAATGGAAGACTTGATAGTAAGTAAGAGATGGATTAGTTCCCTGCAAGAATGCAACCTCCTAGTCAGATATGGTGGTGCATTGTCTGTAATCCCAGCACTCGCAAGGCTGAGGCAGAAGGATCACCATGTTCAAGGTCAGCCTGGGTTACATAGTAAGACCCTGTCTCAAAACAACTGAAAAAATATAACGCATCTTCCACAGGAGTTGAAGGAGTTGATCAGACCCATGTGAAGTCTTGCATGAATTACTTAGAAAGAAGATGATTTGGTTCCCATAGAGCAAGTAAGTACAGTCAGAGAGGTGTACATTACAGCAAATATAACAAAAGGCTCTGCATTTTCTTGGTTCCAGGAATTGAATTCAGGGCTTCACGCATGCTGGGCAAATTCTCCACCACTAGTGTCTCCTTTCCTGCTTCTTTTAAATTTTGAGACAGGATTTCACTGACTTGGTTACACAGGCCTAAAACTTGAAATCCTCCTGCTTTAAGTCTCCCAAATAGCTGGGATTACAGGCACACACCAACTCACCTGGCTTTAATTTAGCTATTTTAAAACAACCTGTATATATACTAAAAAAATTCAGATTTTTTTAGCGGGGGAATCGAACTCAGGACGTTGCACTTGCCAGGCAGGTGCTATGCCACTGAGCTATCTCCCCAGCCCAAAAAATTCAGATTTTAAAAGACTCATGCTTGGGGCTGGGGATTTAGCTCAGCGGCAAAAGCGCCTGCCTGGCAAGCACAAGGTCGTGAGTTCGGTTCCCGGTACCGAAGAAAAACCAAAAAAAATAAAAGACTCATGCTTATCTTAGTGATTTACAAATATTCTAGTCCCCTTGCCAGAAGTAATGGTAACAAATACTGATTCTCCAGTCTAATGACATAAGCCATTCACTCTTTTGTGGTCTGGCTTTACTCACTCAACAGTATTTTTTTCTTAATTTGGTTTACCTAGGGGGGATCTTCCATACCGGGAATCAAACTCACAACCTCGCGCTTGCCAGGCAGGTGCTGTACCACTGAGCTAAACCCCCAGCCCCTCCTAGGGCTGTCTTTCTTTTGGTAAAAAGATATGCTGAATGGTCAATAGGAATCATCTGATTTACAGGGTTGCATTCATTTATGTGTGGTGGCAGGTGCCTGGAGTCTCAGCTACTTGGGCAGCGGAGGCAGGAGAATTGTTTTAGCCCAGCAGTTCAAAATCTGCTGGGGAAATTCAGTGAAAACACATCTCCAAACAAACACAAGAGTTGATGAAATGAAGATATGGAATGTGAACAAAACATGCCCCTCCTCTCCGAGCCTTCAGAAAAACTGTTCGAGGATAGTTGGCCTTTCTCCTATATAACACGCTTACCGCACCCCACCGTTACCGATCGTTTCCTACCTGAAGCGATGTAGAGAGGCTGGGTTTGGTGAGCAGCACAGGAGCTGGTGGTGGTGGAGGAGGCGGCAGAGGGGGAGGCGGCGGGGGTGGAGGCGGCGGCGGGGGAGGAAGGTAGCTGCCTGGCGCTGGCAATGTGGACGGAAGTGTGGCTCGGGAGTCTCTGGGGCTGGCTAGAGCACAGGCGGACACATTTGTAAGTTCACCACTCGTGTGACACCACTGACCACAGCTTGGGCAAGACTTTTCTGTGAGGGTCTGGAAAAACACGGTACATTTGGCAAATGAATAATGTGTTCATTTAGTTATTGTGCCCAACATAGTAAAAAGCCACCATATATTTGAATGCTTTCTCAGTGTGTTGCAGGCTTCATAATATTTTCTCATTTAACGGTCACAGCTTTCATCCTTTCATCCGTTCATTTGTATATGAGGCTGGCTGTGACATTGAAGATAAGACATTAAACATAAAACACAATAACGCATGGTAAGAGCCATGAAGTGTGTCCTGAGCACAAACAGCTCGAGTCTTGGGGTATGATGATCAAAAGAATGAACTTGGTGATGCGTGTCTGTAATCCCAGCACTCTGGAAGGCTGACGCAGGAGGATCTCAAGTTTGAGCCCAGCATGGTCACTTAGTGAGATCCTATCTAAAAATTTGAAAAGAAGGAAAAGAGAAAAGGGCTGAGGATGCAGCTCAGTTGTAAAGGCTCCCCAGGGTTCAATTCCCAGTATCACAAAAAAGAAAAAAAAAAAAAAAAAGGAATCGAAACTTACCAGAGGGAAATGAGGACTGGGAAGAGTTCCTCCCAAGAGAAAAGTACCTAATTAACCAAGAATATACACATTCAAGGTACTGTAAAAACCCCAACAGGTTGGAACATGACCATTTAGAACTTATACTTTATATATATATAAAATTTCTTTCTTTCTTTCTTGTCAGTTCAGACTGGCCTCAAACTCCAGCGATCCTCCTGCCTCAGCCTCCCAAGTGCTAGGATTACAGATGTATACCACCATGCCCAGCCCAAATTCATATTTTGATATCTTAACATCTAGTACTTCAAAATGGGACTATACTTGCATATAGGGCCTTCAAAGAAGTGATTAGTTAAAATCAGACCATTAGGGTAGGTACTAATCCAACCCAACTAGAGTTCTCTTAAGAGGAAATGACATAGATCTCACAAGAAGAAACTCATATGGGAACACAGTAAAAGGTGGTAGCCACCTGCAAGCCCAAGATTCAGGCTCTTCAGAAGAAAACAAACTTGCTGACACTTTAATTTCAGACTTCTGCCTCCAAACTGTGAGAAAGTAAATTACCGTTGAATAAGCCATTTAGTCTGTGGTGTTTGTTACAGCTGCCATAGGAAACAAATACAGTACCCTATGAAATAAGGTGGTGCATTAATTTTCAGCGATTACTATAACAAGTTATCAGGAACTAGAGTGTTTAAAATAATTACAACTGCTGTGCGTGGTGGTGCACGCCTGTAATCCCAGCACTCAGAAGGCTGAGGCAGGAGGATTGCACTGTGTTTGAGGCTGCCCTAGGCTATATAGCAAGACTCTGTCCAAAAATAAATAAGATAAAATAAAATAAAATAATTACAACTTATTTTCTCACAGTGCTACAGGCTGGAAATCTGAAATGAAGGTGTCACCAAAGCTGCACTCCCTGTTGAGGCTCTAAAGAAAATTGATCCCTTGCCTCTTGCTGTGTCTGCTAGTTGCAGGCATTCCTTGGTCTGTAACTGATCGCTCTGATTTCTTGTCTCCATGTTCACAGTGTGCCTCCTCTTCTTTGTGTGTATTCTCTTTTGCATGTCTCTCTTCTAAGGGCACCTGTCATTAGATTTAGGGTCCACCCAGATAAAACAAGATCCTTAATTACAATACAAAATTCTTTCTTCCCCAAGTAAGGTAACTTTTTTTTTTTTTTAATCTTTTTTAGATAGGGTCTCACTATGCAGTTCAGGCTGGTCTTGAGCTCATTTTGTGGCCCAGGCTGATCTTGAACTCACAATGATCCTCCTGCCTCAGCCTCCTGAGTGCTGGGATTATAGGCATGTGCCACCAAGCCTGGCTCCAAATAAGGTAATTTTTACAGGTTCATGGAATTAGGACTTGAACATATTGTTTTGGAAGCCACCATCTAGATAGCCTCCCCTAGATGGAATCATGCCCATTTTATAGATGAGGAAACTAAGGCCCAGAGGAAAGAGATGATTTGCATTTTCCTCTTTTTTTTTTTGTCCTTTTGAGACAGGGTATCACTATGCAGTTCAGTCTAGCCTTGAGCTCACTTTGTAGCCCAGGCTGGTCTCAAACTCACAACGATCCTACTTCAGCCTCCTGAGTGCTGGGATTACAAGCGTGCGCCACCATGCCTGGCACATTTTCTTCATTTGGCTAGTTTATTTTTAGGTACAAATTCTGGAAGCAGAAGTGGAATCCAGAAGCTTCTCTCCAGATCAATAGGCACAATACTGAGTTACTGAGAATAGCGGCCTAAACTGGGTTGGTTATACACTCCTGTAATCCTAGATCCCAGCACGTGGAGGACTGAAGCAAGAGGATTGCAGTGAGTATGAGGCCAGCCTGGGGGACTTCAAAATGACTTCATAATGACTTCAAAACCAGCCTGAACTATATACAGTGAGACCCTCTCTCAAAAAATAAAATAAAACAAGAGGCTGGGTGTAGCTCAGTGTTAAAAGATTTGCGTTGCATTCTTAAAGCTCTGGATTCAATCCCCTGAACCACCAAACTAAACCAAACCAAACAAAAATTGATAAAATAAAAATAAAAGAACGTGTTTCAACCACTTCTTAGTTATCAGCAGCAAAGTGCTCTGGAAAGGAAGTTATACCATTACAGAGATTCAAAATAACAACAAATTTACTTCTAGAACCAAAATCTCATTTGGTCAATGAAGTTTATGTTTTAAAAATTATTTTCTGCGTTTATTAGTGAATAGGTATGATATGTACAGAACACAACACTCACAAGGCAAAGAGTACACAGTGTGAAATCCAGTTCCCTCCCTTCCCCGACCCCAGCTCCCCAACCACCTCTTCACGGGGGCAGAGAGTGGGACTCATTTCTTATACGCTGGGGCCGAATACTGTTTCTTTGGCATCTCCACTTCTCCTGGGACCCACGAGGCTTTAGCACATAGATCACATCTCAGGGCCCCTGGCCACCTGGCTTGTGGCTGGAAATCAGAGGAGTAGATCTCTCAGGGGACAGTTTTACTGCTATCTGCCTGGCAGATAGCCCTATAGGACTCCAACTTCTGAGAAATTTCCATCCCTCTGACCTGCTGAGGCCTAAGGTAGCAAAGGAACTCTGCCATTAACAGCAGGCCCCAGAAGAACACTACATGATCCTTTGTGTTTTCCTATGTTCCATTTGTACCTTTGGTTCAATTTCTTCAAATTATCCTAATTTGAGTGTGTGGTTTTTCCCTGGATCATGAACAGATAAAGATCATTCCCAAGGCTGCCCTCCCACCCCTACCCCTGATATGAGCACTGAGGCAAGTGCTCTACCATTCAGCTTCATCTCCAGCTGTATTTTTAAATTTTATTTTGAGGCAAGTCTCAATAAATTACCCAGGCTCACTTCCAACTTGTGATCCTTCCTGCCTCAGCCTTTCGAGCGGCTGGGATTACAGGCATGTGCCACCATACCCAGCTACCACCTCCTTTTTAACAACTACATAGTATTCTACTGCACGAGTGAAGTATAATTTATTTATTTAATGCTATATTGCTAGACATTTGGTTTGCTTTATAAATTTTCATAATTTCAAATCACAAAGCAATAAATAACTGTATATATGTATAAAAATTGGTTAGGTTAATATATATATATATATATAGTTTGTTTGTTTTATCTTTTTGAGACAGGGTCTCACTATGCAGTTCAGGCTGACCTTGAACT